TATATGGTGAATCTTTGAGGATGCTCTCCAGCTTTTTGCACATCTGGACCCTACATTTGGCGAAGTCTTCATCACAGTGGCCTGCCATGTTACATGCCAATTTTGGAATTATTCCTGGACTTATACAACTTAATGGCCTGCCCTGTTATCTGCTAATCTTGGGACTATGCCATTTTACTCGTCAATCTTGGGTTGTCAGCTTCAGCAGGCAGCAGCTGCATGAGTCAGAAGCCTCGAGCTCTAGTGGACTTGGAACAGGAGGCAGAGCTGAAGCCCAAGGTCAAGGAGCCTTCACCCACTTTGAACTCAGACTTCTAGCCTCCTAAACTGTAAGAGAATAAATCCCTGTTGGTTAAAGCCATCCACTTGTGGTATTTCTGTTATAACAGCACTAGAGAACTAAGACAAGGTACTACTGGCATCTAGAAGATAGAGGCCAGGGATGACACTAAACATTTTATAACACACAGGAGAAACCCCCACAACAAAGAATTACCCAGCCCAAAATGTTAATAATGTCAACAGTGTCTATCTACTCTCTTATAAAGTAAGAGGAAAAGCAGAATCAGGGAAACACCTTGGGAAAACCATTATTTAGGAATTCCACAAGGAGTCCCTGGACTGTGTAAATGGTTGACACACTGAGCTACTAACTGTAAGGGCGGAGCTTTGAGTTCACCCAGAGGTACTTTGGAAGAAAATCTATTGATCCACTTCCAAAAATCAGCCATTGAAAATCTTAGAGTACAGTTCTACTCTAACCACACATGGGGTCACCACAAGTCAAAACTGACAAGATGGCAACTAGTCCTGGGAAAAGAAGGAAAAATAAGAGGTGAATCAAGAAAATGTACTGTCATAGATGTTGGAGAGCAGAGAATTTCAAAGGAAGAAAAACGATCAAAAATGTTGAATTCAGTGAATTGGACCCATACAGTAAAATTTAAAAGTATTCACTGGGACTGCAATTAGAAGGGCACCAGTGATTTGAGTGAATGGAGGGCCAGACTATAGTGTTGTTGGAAGATGAGATGGTGCACAAAGGAAACACAGGCTCCTCTTGTTCTGGTTACCTAGTGCTGCTCTGACAAGAATATACCACAAAGGGGATGGCTTGAAGAAACAAGAGTTTATTCTCTTACAGTTTGGAGGCTCTAAGTCTGAGTTCAAAGTGCCAGGCTCTAAAGGCTGGGTGAAAGCCCCTCCAACCCTGGGCTTCAGTTCTACCTCCTGCTCCCAGCCCACTGAAGCGGGAGGCTTTTCTTTACTCAGCTGCTGGCTGGTGAGGCTGACAAGCCCAAGGTTAATAAGCAATAAGGCACAGTCCTGATATTACCAAACCACATGGCAGGCCGTTAATTCAAGTCCATTGGAAGTCCCAAGGTTGGCAGAGCATGGCAGGCTGCTCAAGAACGACACAGCTACACATAGCTACACAGGTTTCAAGCATGCCATAAGCTAGAGATCGTTCCCCAAGGCTTCTCCTCATATAGAGGAAGCAGACCACATCCCTAAGGAAGCTATTCAGCTGCTCGCAGTAGACTCCACTAAGGAGCTGACTACCAGTCTCATCATGGGGAATACTACTGGGCCAGCTGCCCAGCCACTCAACCAGGCCCAGCCAAGGTGACACACAAACTTAACTACTACACCTCTTAAGGAATTTTACTGAAGACTGGGTAGTAACTAGAGCAGTGGTTCTCAATCCTGGCTACAATCAGAATCACCACTCCAGACTAATTAAATCTGAATCCATTGGGGGTGGAGCCTATCCACCACTGTTTTTTAAAATATCTTCAGTGACACAGCCAGGATTGAAAACCATGGAGCTAAGGCTAAAAAGATGGTCAACAGGAAAAGGGAAAAGGAAGTGCAGTGTAGTAAATTACTTAGTGTGGCTTTTCTACCCATTGTTGTTGTTGTTATGTGCTGTCGAGTCAGCCCTGACTCATAGCGACCCCTCCTTGGGTTTCCGAGGCAGTATCACTACGGAAGTAGGATTGCCCAACCTTCCTTCCGAGGAGTGGCTGGTGGGTTTGAACCGCCAGCCATCTGGTTAGCAGGCAAGTGTCTTAGCCACTATGCTACCAGAGGTCTTTGTAAACTCCAAGGTGGGATTTTCTATGAGCAACTGAGGAGCTATCCACCTGGGTTATTTCTGTTGGGCATGGCACAATACAATGTTCTGGGAGGTTCCCACTCTCTCATGTGCTTAGAGTTCTGATGCTGTGATTGGCTAGTTTGACCACCCTTCCGGGCTCAAAAGGAGGCCTCCTGGAGGCAGAACTCTCTCTGACTGCTGGTTGAGGAAGATGTGCTGCCCAAAGAGACACGCACCCCTGAAAGAGACACGTGCTGCTGGGAAAAAGACACAAGAGACACGCATCGCTGAGTGAGACACTGAGGGACCAGCACTGCTGGGAAAGAGACCGTGAGAGACTTTTGGCTGAGGGACGGTGGGCTGGGAGAGAGACTGAGCATTCTTCCTGAACTTGAGTTGTAGCCTGGTGCTTCCCTAATAAACCCTGTAATCTGTGAGTTCTGTGTGGCCACTGCAGCGAATTATTGAACCCAGGAGAGAGGTGGTGAGTGCTTTGGGAGGAATGGTTGGTGAAAGGGCTGGAGGGAAGCAGCATGTCTGGCCTTACAGTAATAGGCCTTGGTTTACTGCTGGTAATCCTGCCTTCCCCTTGTAGGGTTAGAGGAGGTCTGAACATGTGGCCTCCTTGCCCTTTTTGCAGGAAGTCAGGAGAGGAAAATGGGATAAAACAAAGTTCCAGAAGAAAGGGTAGGAAAAGTTCAGGAATGTGCACTGAGGGGCCGGCCTTTAAGGAAACAAATAACACCTATTCTAAAGGAGCTCTGGTAGCATAGTGGCTAAGACACTTGCCTGCTAACCAGACGGCTGGCGGTTCAAACCCACCAGCCACTCCTTGGAAGGAAGGTTGGGCAATCCTACTTCCATAGTGATACTGCCTCGGAAACCCAAGGAGGGGTCGCTATGAGTCGGGTTTGACTCGACAGGACATAACAACAACAACAACAACAAGGAGACTAAAAGGTGAAGTGAATGCTGATACAGAGAAGCTGGGCACAGGAACCCCAGTGGAAGAGCAAGGAGAAGTGAAGCACAGCCATTGCTCCAAAACTGGAGATTCAGTGGGTGGGAGGATTTAAAAAAAAGGTATGCAAGAGGTTGAAGAGTTTAGATGCTATCTAAACCAGGCAGAGAAGCAAAAACAGTCTATATGAAGGAAAACTGGTACAGAATATAGATCTACCTCTGAGCACCAAACTATTAAAATGGGCTATGAAACAGTCATGACCATTGTTTTCTATCTGAGGTAATCCCACTAAATCAGATCTCCCATATCCTGTTATTTGTCCTGAAAAGGAACATCTGCAATTTACTTTGAAATGCACAAAATTTAGATGAACGAATGGCCACACAGATAGATAGATGTATGACTTAGCAAGTATAGTAAAATCTCAGTGGTTAAATCTAAGTGTGTGGGGGGAGGAAGTAGAGCTCTAAAAGAACATTCTGAAATTATGGAAATATTATATAATCTGTGCTGTTAAGTATGGCAGCTACACTCTCCATGTGGCTCCTGAGCACTTGAAATGTGGCTAGTGTTAATGAGGAATTAAAAATGTTACTTAACTTTAATTAACTTAAATTTAAACCAATATAGCCACTTGTGGCTAATGGCTGCCAGACTGGACTGCACAACTCTAGATTCATATAGCCCTGGATTCAAGTCTTGGCTCCAGTACTGGCTGTTATTTTATTTCTTTGAGTCTCAGTTTATCTTTATATAAAATGAGTTTAACATAGCACTACTTCAAACAGAACAAATGAATTAAAGCAGACAATGCATGAAGCATATCCCTGTACATACAGTAAACACTGAAAAATTAATGTTTATTATTCCTACTAAATGGGATCCACAAAATCAGGATCTACTGTCTGTTTTGCTCACCACTGTATCCCCAGTGCCCAATACGGTGCCCCATACATAAAAGACAGAATAGACATTTGTTGTATGAATGTTTCTGTAGTCACAAGATTTTACATTTATTCCTATTGAATTTCATACTGTCAAAGCTCTGATCTTCATTTTTTTTTTTTTTTAATTGTGATTTGGGTGAAATTTATAGAGCAAATTCACTTTCCATACGGCAGTTCACATACACTTTGTCTCATGACATTGACTACTATTTCCCACAATGCAATAGCTCCTCTCCCACTTCCTCCCCATAGTTACCGCTTCCCTGTGTCCTTTCCTCCATGCACTCCTGACCCCTGAGCTATCTCCCTGTGCATACACAGCCCTTCTATTCTCCCATTATTGTTCTCTCCAAGGAGTGTATCTACCTAATGTAAATGTTCAGCATAGCTCTGATCTTTTGAGGTCTTTTTGAATCCTAATGTCATCCAATATATTAGGAGCTCTGGTAGCATAGCACCTAAGGCATTTGACTTAACCAGAAGGCTGGTGGTTCAAACCCACCAGCTACTCCTTGGAAGGAAGGTTAGGCAATCTACTTCCTTAGTGATACTGCCTCGGAAACCCAAGGAGGGATCACTATGAGTCGGATCTGACTCGACGGCAGTGAATTTGTTTTTGTTTTGCCATCCAATATATTTGATATGCCTTTCAGTATCTTCTAAAATTTTGATAAACATATATATATTTATTATATATTATATATATATATATAATATATATATATTCATCTGAGACATTAATAAATAAATATGTTACCAGGGGCCTATGTCATTAGTTTTATCACCCTTAAGTTTATCGTCATTCATTAGCTGGTACTAGGTGAATGGACTTTCAATTTAGCTTCATTTTTATACCACCTATTATTTATCTGCATCTTATCAACTAAGGTAGAAAGTATGAGAATCTTACAAAGATTAGACTCTCAGTATGTCTTCCATTATAATAACCCTTAAACAGAACTTACAATAACAACAACTTTGCACTTACCCTTCAATAGCTGGGGATCTTTCAGGACGAGTACTTCCTCGGGACCTGTATCTCCGAGTCATTGGCAGTCGTGGAGGACGACTAGGTCCCCAGAAGTCAGTGTGAGTATGATGACCCCTTTCATTGGCTCGATTATCTTGGTCCAGTGGATTGCTACTGAGAAATGGTCTAAAATCTTGGAAAAACATTGTGTGGTCCAAATGGTCCCAGAACTAGTAAAAACCAGAAACAAACCACATTATTGGTTTCAAGAATAGGAAAAAGAGATTGGATACAGGGGAGAAGAAATATTGAAAGAGAGAGGAATAATTTTCAACCCTTTAAAATTCAGCAACTCCAAAATAAAGAGGAGTATATATCCCCAATTTCAGAGGAGAAAAGAGATCTTTAAAATGCATGCATAAGGGGAAAAAAAAATATCAGTTAAGAAAATTAACTTCCTTCATATGGGAACAAGCAAGCCAATGGCTGGATCTTTTCCTTAATACATGCTTCTGACCAGTTTCTCCTTCTAAACTTTAAATTGATCATGGACTTCTGTGCCAAGCATAATCAAACATTCAGATCAACATTATAACCCTGTGTTTTGTCACAAATGGCATCCACCTTCCCATTGTAGAATCATTTAAGATTTAAATAAATGCATATATTTATACATGAAAAAAGAAAAAACGCATCATCCCACAAAGTAGGTATCTACAAAAAAAAAGGTCTGCTCTAATGGATTTTATCTACAAGTGGGAAGACAGACCTTCCTCCCCAACCAAAAAAGTAAACTATATGGGTGACAGGGAAAAACAGATGGAAATAAAGACTTATATAGACAATATATCTTGGCACTATCCATGGCAATATACATAGTCATGTCATTCTTTTCAATAGCATGGATATTTTATATTTTGCAGTCTTTTAAAAATTGTTTTATTATAATACATAGTACTCATTACATAACATATAATGAATAAATAAGGTATAAGAAAATAAAACACATACCTATGTAACCATCTCTCAGCTCATATCTCCATTGCCATTGAAATCCTTTGTGTTCCTACCTCCCCCATCTTCAGGGGTAACTACTACTGTGAATTTTCCATTTATCATTCCCTTGCTTTTCTTTATACTTTTACTACTACAGTATACTTCTCAAATAAAATGTACCTTTTGAATTTTTCTGGCATTTGCATGTTTGGCTCCACATGTTGATATGTATAGCTGTTACCCATTCATTTTCATACACACTTTATGCCACAATTTTTTATATTTTCTCTCCTATCATATAAATACCTGGGATAGTTCCAGTTTTTTACTATTACAAAAACAGAACTGCTGTGAACATTCTCTTATATGTTTTCAACAAGCATTTCTCTATTAGCAGTCTCTACAACTAGTGTATGGTCTGTACATCTTCAATTTTAGTAGGTAATGCCAAATAGTTTTACAAAGTGGTTGTACCAATTTAAACATTCACCAAACAGTTGATGCCATTGGACAATTTTTCTCACTGTTGTTAATTTTTCAACTATCTGGTGTGCAGAGAAATGGTGTATTTCTCACTGTGGACTTCTGGCTTTGGTTTTATGTTTTGTTTTGTTTTATAGTGTACAAGAACAAAGAATTACCATATGACCCAACATTTCTACTCTTAGGTACATATTCAAGAGAAATTAAATCATATGTCCATATAGAAATGTATACAAGAATATTTATAACAGCCTTACTCATAATAGCCAAAAAATGGAAACCCAAATATCCATCAATGAATGAATGGATAAATTGTGATACATGCTTAGAATGGAGTATTATTCAGCTGCAAAGAGGAATGAAGTACTGATACATGCTACAACTAGCATGAACCTTGAAAACATTCTGCTAAATGAAGGAAACTAGACACAAATGGTCACATGTTACACGATTCCTTTTACACTGAAATCTGTGAGAGCCAGAACTAATCGGGATTGCCTTGTTTTTCTAAGTCTGACAAGTTTTCCGTTTTTGACAGGATACAGTCTTACCACTTTTCTATTGCTGTCTTGGAAAATATTTCTGTTTTCCTGCTCTGACCAGTGTCCACCTCACAGAGGTTCTGGCTTTCCAGGTTTTATTGTACTTTCCACTAAAGTGAGCAATATAAAAATGGAAGACTGTACCCTGTCAAAGGCAGAAAATTTGCAAGACCCAGAAAAACAAGGTAATCTTCTCCCTTTTGGCTCACAGGTTTCACTGTGCTACCAAACAACCATCCAAAGGGCTGTACCAATTTATACTTCTACCAACAGAGTACAAGAGCTCATATTCTCCCAAACTCTTGCTAACATTGTTAAAAATTAAGATTTCTAATATTCAATCTGAAGAGCAAACTATGCACAATAAACATTAATAAGATTTCACTCAATACTTTTTAAATGCCATTTGTACCTATATTATCAGATCTTTTATTTTCCTTTTGCTCTCTAGTTAGTCTCCACTTGCTCAAGAACACTGGTTTCTAGTCTGAAAAATGGTCTAGAATGCAAAATATTTCTTGATCCAAAGACATCCAAGACTTCCCAGCATCAACAACCCTAAGAACTGTAGAACTAGATGGTGCCCAGCTTCCACTGCTGACTACTCTGAAAGGGATCACAATAGCCAGTCCCAGACAGAGTGGGAGAAAAATGTGAAACAAAACTCAAAATAAAAAAAATATCAGGCTTACTGGTCTGTGACAGACTAGGGGAACCCCCAAGACTATGGCCCTTAGATAGATACTCTGCAAGCCTGGAAGTGAATTCACCCTCTTAGCTCAACTTTCAGCCAAACAAGACAAGTCTACGAGGTAACCAAAACAACAAGGAGGTACACAATCCTTAGAACAATCAACCACCGCGATCAAAAGGTCACCAGGTGCCCAGGGCTAAAGCTCAGAAGCCAGGAAGGGATAGGAAAGGAAGAGGAATGGAAATGGTAAACACAGAGCAGAAGTGGGGAGAGTGCTGTTACACTGTGGGGATTGCAATCAATTTAACAAAGCAGAATGTGTATGAATTGCTGAATGGAAATTTCTCGTAAACCTTTACTCAAATCAAAATAAAAAGTTAAAAATAAAATAAAAACATAATAATAAGGGTGGAAATGACCATGAGAACAGGAGCAGTAAGATACTGAACAGAAAAAACTAAACAACAGAGCTCATCCTCAAATCAGCACGGAGTGCCTGGCATTTAAGGCTCAAAAGGGAAATGGAAATTAAGAGATTTGTAACATGCTGGATAGGAAAGAAGGGGCCCTCAAAAAACACCTGAAGACAATGGCTGCTACCATGGCAAATTTCTAAATTTTTCAAGAATATAGAGCATTTAAATGCCGCTCGCAAAGAGAAAACACATATATAAAAATTCCTCCTTCCAAAAGCGTAAACACTGTACTATAAACCATTGCTTGAAAAGTGACTTTTCACAAATGAATTTAAATTTACAGGCCATGTAGTCTGTCCACTCATTGACCAGAAAACTGGCAAGGGTGACATCAAGAATACTTCGTTTTACCCTTTTCTCTTCAGTTACTGTTGAGCTTCTGTTACGGTCTTTGACTGGCAACAATATTATGGATGTGAACTTAATTATGTACTGAATCATGGAAACAGAATTATTATTTTAATAACTGAAGAATTCCAGAATTTTACTTTATATTTCCAACTTTATTGAGTATGAAGCAGGTATTGTGATATGTGCCTTTTTAACATTTCTTCCTCTCTAAAGAGTGGGACACATGACAGATTTGACTGAATTAATTTAACCTTAGAAATCTATTCTAAGCTGCAGCTGCTCAAAAAACTCCAGGTCTACCTGACATTTAAGTGCAAGCCCTCTGGCTGTGTAAAACGGTAGGAGTAACAGTAGTAGTAGCATCAGAACCTGTCTGTGGTAGTTAAGGTTATGTGTCAACTTGGCTGGGCCTGGTTTTAGTGGCTGGCCAACTGAATGTAGTATTCTCCAGGATGAGACTGGTAATCAACTACGTGGTGGAACCTACTGTGAGAGGCTGAGTAGCTGCCTTAGGGTTATGGTCTTCCAGTATATAAGGAGACGCTTTAGGAATGATCTATAGCTTTTGGCATGCTTGAATCCTGCATGGGGCCGAGTCTTCATTTAGTAGCCTGCCATGTTTCCTGCCGATCTTGGCACTGTCTCTGGACTTGAACTAGTGGCCTGTCATGTTGCATGGTAATACTGGGACTGTACCATTTTATTTGTAGACCTTGGGTCTGTCAGCCTCAGCAGCTGCCTGAGTGAAGAAAGCCTCCAGCTTCAGTGAGCTGGATGCAAGAGGCAGAGCTGAAGCCCAAGGTCGAGGAGCTTTCACCTAGCCCTTAGAGCCTGACCCTTTGAACTCAGAATTCTAGCCTCCAAAACTCTAAGAGAATACTCCTGTTTGTTAAAGCTCCCATTTGTGGTGTTTTTCTGTTAGAGCAGCAGGAAGTAACCGCCTAAACTTCAGGGGGGAATAGTGACCAGAATCAGCTCAAAGTTCCACCATGAGGTGGAAGTCATGATGCACAGTATTCATTAGGAGTTCGACAATGTTTCCCCAGTGAGGTCAGAGGAGAATGTAGCTTTTGAGGAATAACAAATACTCAAGAGGTTTACTGACCCTGGAATAGCTTGAATCTGGGTAAAAGGGAACATCAGCGTATTAAAAATTATACCCCTAGGTGGAGATTTAACATTATAATGAGAGACGCTAAGGACCACCATCTTTGTATCCCTTACTGCGCATACTTAACCTGTAACCATACGAAATTGTGTGTATAACATGATTCTGATATAATCCCCACCCTATAAAAGAAACTTGGAGAGACTTAGAAGCAGACAGAATTGGAGCGATTCCCTCTCTGTCTCAACTCATGCATAAACTTAATAAAAGCTCTATCTTTTGCTCTTCACCTCGGTGTATCCTTTTTGGCTGTTATCAGTCAGACATACTTCTACTCACTAATCTTTTTACCCATTCTGACACCAGGTGTTTCTCCAACAGCACTCTCTACTCCTCTGCTAGGTTTGATAATCTTGCAATGGCCACACAGAACTCACAGGCCATACTTACAATTACGTGCTTTATTAATAGAAAATAACAGGATACAGCTCAGGATCATGATCAACCAGCTTTAATTCAGGATCAAGATTAAGAAGCATGTAAACACAGTCTCCCTTCTTCAGCGCAGGACAGTTCTCTC